TGACATTGGACTTTGACTAGTTCAAAGTATGAAAGGAATTCTTCGGTCGCATAGAAAGTATATTCTTGATCTACTTTTAGAAACTGGAAAGTTGCAAACTAGACGTAGAAGTACTCGACTGGTTCCTCATGTGGACGTATGATTAATATCTATGCTCCAACTCGAGGGGGAGAGTTACAAAATGTATATAAACATCATGCTTACCTAATGATTGGAATAAGATATTGACTTGCATTCGATTACATATTTCTTTGTACGTTTTTCAAGAATCAGTTGAAACATATTTGCAACATTTTCCACTAAACTGAGTGAAGAATTGATTTCAAGAACCTTTCATGATGTTCACAGTTATAAGCAAATAACTTGTTTGACAGAATAATCTGTTTAGCACATGAACAATGAAATTCTGAGGTATAGTGTCAATTGTCGGGATCTTGTATTTCCAAGTGCTATTCGAGACCATTAATCCGTCTTCATTGGTGAGATATTCTTCGTGCATATTTTTTATCTGGTGTTATAGGTGGCACCCATGGGCACCATCCATGGACCGTAGGAGGACCCACGGTCCGTGGTTCGTGTCAGCAACCTCCCCCAAAACTCAGCCCAAACATTCGGCCAAGTGTTGACCCACGACCGGACCTACGGTCCGTAGGTCAAGTCACGGACCGTGGTTCGTGTCCGTGGATCGATTCCCCAAAAGCCCAGCTTCAGTCCCGATTGACGGTTGACCAGCACGGACCGTCAGTCGATCGACAGTCCATCGGTCCCATCCGTCGGTGACCCCGACAACAATTAAGTCAGGGGTCTTTTGGTCTTTTCCTATTCTGTTGGACCCCTAAACTACGTCGTTTAGACCCTAAATTATAAGGTTTTAGTCAGTTTAAGCCTAGAAACATAACTAGAACTTACCTAAGTCACATCATTCATCAAAACTTAGAAAAAATTAAACCGTAAGAGGAGAAGAGAGGTCAAAAACCCTAGTTCAAGAACGCAACAAGGTTCCATCAGTTCCAACCCCGAAATCGAAAGATTTCTCCGTGAAATTCGTTGCTAGGTATGTGGGATTTCACTAGTGGGTTCCTTTCCCCCCATTAGGTCCCTAGTTTTCAGTCAGATTCTTGATTCCCTTATTATGACTAGACCTAGGGTTTTCTATAACTTTAGTAGATTATCATGAATTAGTTATCTAAATGTTCCAAATCAGATTATCATGTTATTATTCAGATTATTACATGAATTTCAGAGCCCTAACTATGTAGTTCTTTAGTTTCTGAATTGCACATGCTAGGCCAGATATTTCAAATATACATGTCTCAGTTTTTTAATGTGTCATTATCAGTTTATTAATGTGCATTCTCAGTTGCATGTCAGTTTTGAGCTATCCTGTATATCACAATAAATTAGTCATAATGTGTTAATCATTAAATCTATTGGGAGTAGCATAATACCTAGTTGGACTAGGGTCAGCTATCCATATAGTCCCAGAACTACGAGCCACGTAGGTTGTAAGTCCCCTCTGTGCGCATCATTTTAGTGATCATACCAGTATGCCTCTACACCTTTGGCCAGGTGTATTGGGTCCTCTCGATGGGGCGTATACATCGGACTCCACATTTAGCTCATGTGGTTTTATTGTCGATTATTAGTAGCTCCCACAGTTTAGTCAGATTCCATTGCATTGACCATATTTCAGTACAGTCAGTATTCAGTCTTAGCATGTTATAAATTGGTCATTGCATTCAGTTAGCTCAGTATTCAATATCTATATCATGTTCAGATTATACTTTTGCTTTATTATTCGTTTAATTATATGTTTATTTCAACTTTACTCTATTATGCATGTAGTACCTTTCAAGAACTGACGCATACTATGCGCTACATCTTCTCGTGATGTAGGTCCAGGTCCTCAGCATCCAGATCACGCTTAGATCGGTTCACGATCTCCAATTCAGCAACATTAGTGGTGAGTCCTCATTCTTCGAGGATAATAGTCGTGTTATCTTTCAGTTTTCAATCTTTAGTTTCAGTTTTGCTAGATTTAGCTGGGGCATGTCCCAACACTTCTAGTCAGTTAGAGGATATTTTCAGACATAGTTAGATTCAGCTTAGTATTTGAGTTTGATATTTCTTTTGTATTAAACTCTCAGATTTGATATATTAAGTTTTAGTATATGAGTATTCCCCATTATTTCATATTTGCTTATAATTAGCTTCCGCATCAGTTATTATTATTTTTAGTATGCTCATGTCATGCCAGCAGGGTTAGCTTAGGGTCACTTGTGATCCTAGGTCCTGTGTTCGTGTCCAGGGGGTAGCTCGGGGAGTGACAAACTTGATATCAAAGCATTAGGTTTAAGTGTCCTAGGATGTCTGAAAGGCAACGCTAGGTAGAGTCTTTTTCATGGGCGTATAGTGCGCACCACATCTAATGAGAGGGAGACTACAAAGTGTTTTAGGAAAAATCTTCATTTTCTTGTTACTCTTATCGTGCGTAAAGTATGATCTAATTCCGTTCTAACTCGACGTTATACGTTTCAGATCATGCCTCCTCATAGAGCTAACACCAGGAATGCGAATGCCAGGAACGCAAACGCAGCTCCTCTAGTCCCAGATAAAAAAGTTTCGCATGCAGAGTTCCGGAACACCATTCAGATATTGGCTCAAAATATGGCCAATTAGAACAATCAGCGGGTTCTAGGTCAGGCAAATACAAATGTTGGATCAGCTACAGCTAGAGTGCGGGATTTTGTTATGATGAATCCGCCAGAGTTCTTAGGATCGCAAGTCGGTGAGGATCCCCAAAACTTCATTGATGAGGTCAAGAAGATCTTTGAAGTGATACAAGGAACTGAGAATGATCGGGTTGAGTTAGCATCGTACCAACTCAAGGATGTGGCTCATATCTGGTATACTCAGTAGAAAGAGAACATAGGTACAAATGCAACTCCTATCACTTGGGCTTGCTTCAGTGAAACCTTTCTGGACAGGTTCTTCCCAAGAGAGCTAAGGGAGGCGAAAGCCCAAGAGTTTATGAACTTGAGGCAAGGTAACATGACAGTTCAAGAGTATGGACTCAAGTTCACCCAACTCTCCAGGTATGCTCTTCACATGATTGCTGATTCTAGGGCTCAGATGAATAAGTTTCTATATGGAGTGTCAGACTTGTGAAAACAGAGTGTAGGAATGCCATATTACTTGAAGATATGAACATCTCTAGGCTCATGACTCATGCTCAGCAAGTGGAGGGTGATAAGCTTAAGGAGCAGGCCAAAGAGAATAAGAAAGCAAGGACAGGCAACTATGACTATATTCAACAGAAATCAGGTGGTGGAAATCGCTCGCAGTATCAACAGAAGTCTTCAACTCCAGCACCTTCATCAGCCAGTGTTCCATCCTCCAAGTTCCGGAATGATCAAAAAGGCGGATCATCAGGCTCTAAGACTCAATGAAGTGTTTCAGGCACCAAAACCTACCCAACTTGTCCAAAGTGTGATAAGAACCATCCGGCCGAGTGTCTTGGAATTGTATTGGGGTGTCCCCAAATAACTAAACTTTTATTATCTCAAAATAGTCAACAAACAATATGATAATAATACTACATAACATTCAACATTTTCTTGCATATCCTAATGAGCTCAACTATGCCTATTATGGATGGTATCGAGGTAATTAATTCATAACTAATTACAATTTAATCTTAATTTTATGTCTAATGATTTACTCGAATGTTTGTTTTAATGATATGACATGACTCGATATACACGTGTAACACACGTGCATATTTTCTGAAAAATCTAAACAATATAACGTTTATCTATGTGTGAAATGTGTTTTTATTTTATTGAATGTTTTTTTTTATTATTACTAGGCAACAAAAAAGCTTCGATCGATGGGGATTACTACGATGATTGTGGGAATAACAACTCCAGATGATAGTGAAGATTATCACAAAAAATTTATGAAAGTTGGGCTTGATGAATGCTATGAGAAGCCATTACAAAGGATATACTTGAGAGTCTTGTTGGGAAAATTTATAACAAAGTTTAATATTATAGAAGAAATAAATCATCTTATTATAAGATAAGTTATATAATATAGTTCTTTAGTCATGTACTTGAGTGACTTGACCTATATAAGTATTATTTTCAAATTTGGTCAGTATTAAAGATGTACTGGTAGACATATGATTATGATGCTATATATCCCTATTATTATGAACTAGAATACTTCTTTTTGTTGGTTTTCATTCGGAGTTCCATATCTATCTTGAGGTCAGACTAATTTGAAATAATTAGAAAATTCATTTTGAGGGATAAAGTTTTTATTTTATTATTTTTCATTCAATGTTCAAGTTTATTGTCGGAACAACAAATGTAGGCATATTTCATTTAATTCGATTTGCTATTATTAATTTTCCAATAACAAATTTTGGCAAATTTCATTCATAAAAACTTCTCATGAAGCTCCAATATTTTAAATGGAAATCAAATAATTTTTCTAGTATAATGTGCATTCTAATTTCTAAGTACTGTTTGTTTCAAAGACAACGAAAGGTATATGTACTGGTAATTTATTCTTCATTTTATGCATAACTGTTTACTCGAAATTTTGTTTTAATAATATGAATTCTATTTTAAAAAATTATGACATAACTCGACATACACATGTAACACACGTGCATGTGGTTAAGCTAGTACTATTGTTGCTTGAATCCTTCAAAAATATTGTCTCATTCGCAATGGATCCTTTCAAGAACGCATTGCCTTTGAAGAATCCGACATATACTCATATTTTCTGAAGAATCCAAACAACATAACTTTTATCTACGTGCGAACCGTGTTTCCATTTTTAACATGATTTAGTTGACTTTTTTTATTCTTTTTCAATTTATAGGCAACAAAAAAGCTTCGATCAAAGTTTTTTTAAAAAAGGTCAGAAAATAAAATGATCATTATTATTATAGCAAACACAAATGTTATGAAATATTTACAATGCTCATATATCAATATTTTAGAAGAAATAAATCATCTTATTATATGACTAAGACCATATATAGCTCTTTAGTCATGTACTTGAAATTTGGTGAATATTAAAGATGTAGTAGACATGATCATGACTCTTTGAAAATGCCTCCGGGTGCATGTCAGATCCTCAAAAAGTAATGTGTATTTTTGGAGGAATCAACACATGTACGACAACATTCTGGATAGTTTAGTATCATTTGAAGCACGTTGATTTCCGAGCCAGCAAAGTTTCTACGAACTTCTCTGCATAATCCAGGCCACACTGTGTCTTCACAACTGGTAATATTGCAGGGACATCTAGATAGAATTCTGAAACAGACTCGTCGAGCTTGTCCCAACGTTTGAGCTGTTCACGTGCTGCTTTAATGGCTGCTCTTGTTGCACAATGGACCGAAGCTGCCAGAAACAACGGTGGTTCACCAGATGCTGCAAAAAAAGTTAATTATAATAAGATTCAACGGTTTGTATGAACTGAAGCAAATTCAGAATTTGAAGTTTATACGTTCCTGCATTGAGCTCAAGTTAGTATACAATAATAACTTAGCTCACTAACAAGTATTTATAGATATTTAGTGGATTTTTCAATATATCTATACAAAGTCTGGACAAAAGTTATTGCGTTCCTGTGAACTCAAGAACATGGAGAACTCATATGACACATGGTATAGCTAAAGGAAATGAAGAAAAGAGTTATACTTTTGGACGAAAGAACACGTTGTTCGTGATGTCCACTGTTTACGAGATGAACATTGAAATTCTGGGGTATGGTGTCAATAGTTGGGATCTTGTATGTCCAAGTGCTATTTGAGACCATTAACCCATCTACATTTGTAAGATATTCTTCGTTCATGAAAAATCCGATTCCTTGTACAAAAGCACCTTCAATCTGTAGCAAGGAAAAGAAAAACAATCACCACAATTATGAACAATCTTGGGATCATGAATCAGATAGTTCTGAAGTTTGAATAACGGTTCAAGTGCATGATGCATCTCTTAATCGTATAAGCGAATTCTAGTTACAAAATCTAGAATCTATGATGAAGGGAAGAACCTGTCCCAAATCAACAGCTGCATTCAAGCTCTGTCCACAGTCGTAAATAATATCCGACTGCAAAATGGTAGTCTCTCCAGTCAGAACATCTATCTCCACCTGCAAAAAGAGTTCTATTGTTAGTTATCCATATGAAGATATATTGGCTGCAAAATGATCCACAACCGGAGTTCCCTGCCGAGTGTTGTGTATTCATATATTGAAAATTGATAGTCATTGCATACGATTCACTGTCAAGATATCTTGGTGGTGAAATGATACACACAAGATTCAAAATCTCATGCTTAAGAGGGTGGAGGTTCGAGTCCTCTTCAAGGCATAATATACGAGCATTCTCAATAAGAGAGCTTGATCGGATCAGTACTAATATTCCAATCAGTATTGATATTTCGATATACTGATTCGAACTAAGCTCTTGGAATAAATTCAGCAAAATTTGGTGATCTTCTCTACGTATTGAAAGGGGAATCTGCTTTAAAGTAGCAGACTGAGGCAGGGAACAAGAAAAACTGACAGGAGTAACAAGTTTACCTCACTGACAGCAGCGCCGAAGGTCAAATACCTCGAGAATTCTGGCACATAATAAGAATTTGCTGCTAAGTTTATTGATTGTGTTTGTGCCTGCAAAAGAAGAAAAATGATTTCAAATAGGCCTTCAGAGTATTTTATCTTCTGACTAATTCAAATTTAGCATCTTTGGCATCACGAGTTATGTTTGGATATGGCGAAATGTTTATAAGAACAAGGTAATCATTGATGATAAGGCGTCTCTTGCAACGAGAACATCTTAAGAATACAAGTTCACAGTGATTTCAAAAACCAATCCAGAAAACCGAAAGTACTGATTATGAGAAGTGTGACTTGCAGTGTTGAAATGTTGGAAAACAAACCTGGCGAATCAGCGTTGGCCAATCAACAGAACCATTTATTTCCTGCAACTGTTTCTTCAGAGGGGTCAGTCTTTCAACCAAGATATTACAGCAAAGTTTAACAGCTGCACAGCTTGATTCCGATGTAGTGCTTCCAGCTGTTAACCCACCTTGCACTACACTTAAGGTGTCTGCTTGTATGACTCGTATTTTCTCCACAAGGTCTTCGGCCCAACTACTTTCGATTGAACTGAAAGCATAGGCAGTCATCTGTCTAACCTTTGTCCATAGCCCTTGGCCAACTTCAACTCCCCCAACCTCCACAACAATTGATCCATCTTGCAGAATACTGACTTTTCCTGGTGTTGGTCGTTGCGAAGCATTGTACACAGCTGGCACACGAGAAATACCCCTTTTCTTCCATGTGTTTTTCTGGTTGAACTGTTCTATCATCTTGCTTCGTTGGAAAAAGCTCGACGACACTGCCAACTTATCCATGATACTAGGCAATGTATATTCTCCTTCTGCTACAACGTTACCATAGAATAAGTTAAGGCTTTCAAATGTATGAACATTCTCATTTCTGACAGAGTCCACCTCAATCGACAGTAAACTTGCGACGTGCTCTATTATAGCTTCGGCGATATAAGATCCTTGCAACTCCCCAGGGCCCCGCATGATCGTTTTGCTGGTGAGATTTGTCTTGCATACTTGTATATCAAAAGATAAGGCACCCCAATTATATTTTTTTAGTGTATTCATCAGATATGATGGTATGATGGGGCTCATATCATCTGTGATCCCAGCATTTATCAATATATCAAGATGTAATGCTGTGATCTTTCCGCTAGACTTGAATCCTACACTGTATGTTACTTTCATCGGGTGTCGTCCTCCTGTCATTATCATGTCACTGTTCCGGTTGACATATATCCTGACAGGTCTTCTTAACTTGTATGCTGCTAGTGCACAGGCCGTGGAAACCTAAAATTATTCATAAACTTTAACATCAGTGTCGGAGAATTGTTATTATTACTATTTCTTTTTCGTATACTCACATGCATTGCTTTGGAAAACTTGCCCCCAAAGGCACCTCCAAGCCTTCTTGTAATTACGCGGATGTTGTGTGCAGGAACACCAAGACAACTGGCAATCACACTCTGTGCATTCTCAGGGCACTGGCTTGAAGTATAAACAACCATGCAGTTGTCTTCATCTGGAATTGCGAGGGCAGTCTGTGTCTCCATATAAAAATGGTACTCGGAACCCAATCTTAACTGGAAAATGATTATTAAAGAAATGATAAGTAATATGTTTGAACCTTTAGCATACATCACCATACAGGAATCAAATTTAGGAAACCATTGAAACAATGCTATGTTCTCAGTCTCTTCAAAAATGCCACCAGGTGCGTGCCGAATCCTCCAATAGTGCATTTTGGAGGATCCACTATGGGTACGGCAATAATTTTGGAGAATCCGAGCAACAAAAAACAAATATGAACAGTAGAGAAAACAAAAGTACCTCAGCAGAGAGAATTTTTTTATCAGCTTCAGCCATTCCTTTTGAGAAATCACCAATCTGTGCAGGCTGAAAAGGTGGAGGGACTTGAATAAAGCTAGCTTTCTCAACAGCTTCCTCAACAGTTAAAATGGGAGAATCTACAGTTGTAGTGTCGTATTCAATGAGGGCTGTTGTTGCAGCCACATCAGCAGATCTCTGACTGTCAGCAACCTATGGTGTTTCAACAACATAAGGAAACAAGTTCAAAATTTCAATGGACTTAGTGCATGAGAAATTAACATTTCATTAAAACAATCTCACAAGAAGGAAACTTGAAGTGCTCACCACAAATGCAATTCTGTCGCCAGCACAACGGGAGAGATCTTCTGCAAATAAGGGCTCGGAGCCAAACGGTGTAACAGCTCCTGCATTTGCCCCTCCTGCTGGGATATCTTTGTAAGTAATTATGGTGGTGTCTGTTAAATGAGTAGGCTCAAGCTGGATTCCCTTGACACCAGCTAATGGTTTTGTACTGTAGATAAATGCTCCATTCAAGCAGTTTGGTGGTGAAGGAATATCATCTACATAAACAGCTTCACCTGAAAAATATTATGTAAACCAGCACACCTAAAGTTCAGAATGTTGCAGACTCAAAGTTATAGTTAAACTGGTGTGCAGATAAACTATTTTGTGTTTAAAAAAAAACAAAAACATGGCAAGAGGAATACATGACAACAAGGGAAACAAAAAAGGAGAAGAATGACCAATTGGTAACACCTGAAAACGGAATCTCAAGCTTCGTCTCCTTACACAATGTTTTATCCAAATCACACTACAAAGTTCGGCAAAAATATGTATTAACACCCCAAAGAATGGTACCTATAGTTGTACCAGAGGTGTCGAATGATTCCTAACGCAATGCTTTATCCAAAGTTAAGACAGAGTAAACTATTTCCTCGATCTCATATCTCTTATTATAGACTTTCCCTCCTGTACTTGCTATTACTTTAATTGTGTATTTTCACTTTAAATACCAGATAACATTTTCAATATAACTATGTTGCTTGGACCCTCCAAAAATGTTGTCCACCCTTGTTGGATGCTAACATTTTTTAAGTGTCTGAACAACATAGCTGCCTTAAAATTTAAATGTCAAAAAGCCAGCAGTCAAGGACAGGAAAAGTTGGTATGAGATTTTGGACTTAACATGCACAAGATGAAATAAAATATTAAAAGGGGATAACAAACCAGCAGCTTGCATGGCAGCTCCGATCTTCTTCAACGGTTCACCTACTGGAGAGTACTCTGTACTAAACTCCACTACCTGCTTAGAAGAAGATAGTAGTGTTTGTTTTTTCCCCTGACTAATGCAACCGTTATTACTACTTTCCGAAGGTTCCTCATCTGTGATGTCATTAATTCCATCAAGTAAACCACCAGAAATAGAAGAATGAACATCAGTTAAGGGATAAAGAAACTCAAAAACATAACTGACGGCCAAGCTTGATCTGTACTCAGGGTGTAAAGTGCCATCTTCCGGTACCACCGCTAGTTTGACTAATTTAAGTGCTTCATACAAAACATGTACACTCAACATTTTCCCGGATAGGCATTCTTCTACCTTTTTAGCCCTTTTTGCATGTTTTGTGCCATACGCACCAAACGCCAAATGGATATTGTTTATCAGGACGCCGTTCTTGCTGTGAGAAACATCAGCCTGGAACGCAGCATTTACATATGCCAATGCATTCCCATGAGGTCGTGGAGCAGCTCGATAGGTTTCAAACAAAAATCTAGAATGAGTTTGGTGAGAACTTTGATCTTTCTTAAATGGGATGCAAACACTAAGAAGCACAGTCTTTGAGTCTAGTGGTGGTCTTGATAATAACTCCTCCCATGTGAGGTTTTCAGGTCCATGACTGGTCATCAAGCTAACAGTAGCAGAAAGCCCGAGAAGTAATGTAGCGATATCAGAAGGAAAACCATTCTTCTGTGCCATAACCAAATTTCCTCCCACACTGGCAGAGTTTCTAACAAATGGTGTAGCAATCTTCTCCATGTGGTCAGCCAATTTTTGGGATACCAACTTCCCATATGAACCCAAATTGATATTACTTTCCTCTTTCAAGACTGAAATGAATTTAGAGATAGTCACAGTTGCTCCAACTTCAATGCCTGTATGATCTCTTTTGATGATTGAGAGTTCAGGAATGTGCCTGAGATCAACATAATGATCATATCGCTGAGTTTCCTTGTAATAACCTGTGCCGGTATTACCAACGACGAGTTTAAAGCTTGCACGATTTACTGTCACATTGAAGTTCAACAAGCTCCATAGCTCCTCAATGGAAACAGGACTGTACCAAGGGTACTTTGAGGAGTCCAAATTTGTGGCGGATTCACTTTTCAAGAACTCGGGATATGTACTAAAACTCTTGGTTGGATCATAGGGAGGTAATTTACTTACTTTCATTTCCTTGGAGTCACCCTTTTTCCAAAAAGAATTGAACCCCAAATCCTCTATATCAATATCAGCAGCAAAAGATTTGCAGGCATCAGCAATGGGCCGGTAGCCAGTGCACCGACAAAGGTTTCCCGCTATGGCATTTTCAGCTTCAGATGAAGTTAGCTTAGAGAATCCTGGTGGAGGATTGGGTTTGTTTCCTTTATCGGCGTTGACGAGAGCTGAGAAAAGTGACATACAAAGGCCAGGAGTGCAAAAGCCGCATTGAGAAGCATAGAAACCGGCAAACCTTTCATGAATAGAGTGAAAACCATCTCTGGTGTTCCCAAGGCCTTCACTTGTAGTAATTGAACGACCGTTTAAACTACAAAGAAGTGTAAGGCACGAACTTACACTAAAATCTTCCACCTTTTTAAACTTCGGATCATACTTTGAGATCAGAACAACACAAGCCCCACAACCACCTGTAACCATACAAATAAGTTATGTTCCTTCTGAAACCAAAATTGTGCATTTGTTACCAAATACTTAATCAGATTATAGACGGACGATGAAGAGATATACCCCTCTAAAAGACTTAAGAAGCAGTATTTCATAGTCTAAATGATGTCAGCAAACAAAGAATATGATATCTCACTTAATGTGTATTCTACAGCTTCGTATGTAAATCAATTACATATGGTGAACCTTAAACTTCATTTTTGCTATTGTAAAAATATGACACTTGAGCCTAACCACCATCCGTTCCCCAAAAGCTAGCTCATGAGAGGAAGTTTGTGCAAGTCCATATAAACCAATGCGAGACTCTAACCCCCCCACCCCAAAGAAAAAAAATTCACATAATACGTAAGATATGGCACCTAGGTCTAACTCAACCCCAAAAGCTAGCTCATGAGGGATGGTTGCTCAAGTCTATATAAGCAGACCACCAATCAATTCCCTAACCAATGTGGAACTTTAATCCACTCTAGCACCCCCTTCACGCCCAAGCCCAACTGAAGCGTGGGCTAGGAGCCCAAACAGGGATGAACCTGACTCTACCCTGATACCATGTAAAGATATGACACCTAGGCTTAACTCAACCCAAGAAGCTATCTCATGAGGGGAGGATTGCGCAAGTCTATATAAGCAGATCACCAATCCATTCCTCAACCAATATGAGACTTTTAACCCCCTCTAACATAATAAAAGATTTCATTGCCTGAAAACAATTAAGCATACAGTGTCCCACTCCCAACACTTGAAACCCGAGACTTTTGTTTAGAGGTGAAAGAATCTTTACCGTTCCATCACACCCTTTAATGGACATAGAAGGCTTAAAGAGCACAGAAATGCAGAGATGTAAAAAAGCATCAAAGGAAAGCCTAGTAAGTTATCATAAACTTTCTGCAGATGACTGGTGAATAAGAGAAGTACACTAGAATTTATCAAATTCCATGAACATTTGCCATAAGAAAACCAATTTAAGGAAATCCAAAGATTCTAACATTCCTTATGTACTAGCACCAAAAACAAACGTATAGTATACACTAGGAAGATTGAGATCATGAGATCTCAGGTTCAAGGTTCAAATTTCAACAGAATCAAAAACAATAGATATTTCTTCTTATTTGTCCAAGCCTTGACAGACAGAGTTACTCATTGTTGGTTGGTGGGATGGTGGGAGATAACAAGGTACCCCTGAGACTAGTTGAGACGCACAAACGGGCTTGGACACCACGGTTCACGGTTGTTCAAAATAAAAAACATGTTGATACATGTAACAGAGTGGTGAAAGAAAAGAAGAGCATTACCTTCACCACAACCAAGCTTAGGACTCTTGAAACAAGTCTCAGAGCGCAAGAACTCAAGCAAAGTTGTCGAAGGATCGACAGATGGCAGCTCAAACCTCTCTCCATTAACTGCAAACACCAAATTCCCCTTTTTCTGTCTTTCCTCCATTAATACAATAGCCTCCTTAAAATCAAAATTCTATGGTTAGCTCTTTCACAAAAAAATTAGTCTTTTTTCTACTTTCAGTTGAAAAATATCAGAAGTGAAAGAAGAAACATGAATCTTGAATTTAATTAGGTGTCCAAAAACTTGACTTTTAAACACAAAAAGATTCTTGAATAAAAAATTCTTGGCTAGCTGAAATACTGAAGCAGTTAACTTTGACACATACCCTTTACCAATAATCTAGTCTTTCTCAACTTTTTTTATACTTACAGAGCTGAAAAATTACCAGAACTGGAAAAAAAACAAAAATCTTGAATTGGGGGTCCAAAGCTCGACTTTTTAATACAAAATACCCTTTATCACTAATCTTGTCTTTTTCAACTTTTTTCTACTTACAGAGCTAAAAAACTACCAGAACTGGAAAAAAAAAAACAAGAATCTTGAATTGGGTGTCCAAAGCTTGACTTTTTAACACAAAAGCTTCTTAGATCAATATTCTTGGCTAGCTGAAGCAATGACACATACCCTTGATAAAAAATCTAGTCTTTTTCAACTTTTTTCTCTTACTGAGCTGAAAAATTACCAGCTGGAAAAAAAAACAAGAATCTTGAATTATATATATTTGGTATCCAAAAGCTTGACTTTTTAATACAAAAGCTTCTTGAATCATAATTCTTATCTAGCTGAAACACTAAAAGCAGTTGACTTTGACACATACCCTTTATCAAAAATCTTATCTTTTTCAAATTTTTTCTACCTACTGAGCTGAAATTTTACCAGAACTGGGAAAAAAAAGAATCATGAATTGGATGTCTAAAAGTTTCTTCAATCAAGATTCTTGGCTAGCTGAAACACTGAAGCAGTTAACTTTGACACATACCCTTCATCAAAAATCTCATCTTTTTCAACTTTTTCTCAACCTACTGAGCTGAAAAATAACAGAGCTGAAAGAAAAAGCAAGAATCTTGAATAGTATAAGTCCATAGCTAGCTGAAACAGTTAACCTTGACACATACCCTTTATAAAAAATCTTATCTTTTTCAACTTTTTTTCTACACACTGAGCTGAAAAATATCACAACTGAAAGAAATATCAAGAATCTTGAATTGGGTGTCCAAATGCTTACTTTATAACACTAGTGTTTCTTAAATCAAGATTCTTGGATAGCTGAAATACTAAAGCAGTTAACTTTGACACATACTATCAAAAATGTGATCTTTTGTCAACTTTTTTTTCTACCTACTCAGATGAAAAATATCAGAACTGAAAGAAAAAGCTAGAATCTTGAATTGGGTGTCCAAATGCTTACTTGTTAACACAAATGCCTCTTAAATCAAGATTCTTAGCTAGCTGAAACACTGAAGCAGTTAACTTTGACACATACCCTTTATCAAAAATGTGATCTTTTTCAACTTTTCTTCTACCAACTGAGCTGAAAAATATCACAACTAAAAGAAAAAGCAAGAATCTTGAATTATATAAATTGGGGTATCCCCACAACTTGACTTTTAATACAAATAACTTTATGCTACATTATAAAGGGAAAATGTAGCTCATAATTATGTGAAATGTGATGGTTATTTTGAAAGAAAGAAGAAAATATTTCAAAGTTTAATGATGGAGAAAAAGATTCAATCATTTTGAACCACTCCGGTCACAAGTGTATTTATTAGGCAAAGGACTTATTACTAATTTAAGATACTATTTTCACACTTCTTTCTCTCTATTTATAGGTAAAAGATAAAAGAGAGATCTTTTTTATGCCCTGACATGTGCTTTACATGTTGTGATGTTATCTTTCTTCCCACCAACTCCTTTTATTTAGGGAAAATGCCTAAATATATTATCGAACTTTGACAAAAAGTTTATTTATATCATTTGTTAAAAGTTTGATTTAACAATACATTGTTGTTTGAGAAAAGACTCAAGATAGAATATATTTTTTCATGTGGAATGTCATATAATAATCACACTCTCAATAGTTTAGGTATGAAACTAAAAAAAACGAATAGTTCAATGTATTTTTGACACTTATCTCTAAAAATTGTGTCCTTTCTAATTATACTTATGTAACACTCATTCCTCTATTCCCCACCTCCGCCTTGTATTATTATATTTTTTTGGTACGAAACACATCCTCTAATTAATAACTTTCAAAAGTTGAAATATTGTTTTTTTTTAAATCATTATTTTAATAACATTCAAATGCAAAATTGTAATTATACAATCTATGCAAATATAACTAATGAAAATTTCAATATAAAAAAATCAACAGATATCTTTTATTAAAAATCTTATCTTTTTCGAAATTACTGAAATTACTCATGTAAAATGTGATGATTATTTTGAAGAAAATATTTTCAAGGATGATTGAAAAAAATTCAATCAATTTAAACCGATCATGTCATAATTATAGTAGGTCTACTTATTATAATTTAAGGCAATTACGCTCTCTATCTTTTTATAGATTACTGATAAAAGAGAAATCTTATTTACATGTGCCTTACATGTTGTGATGTTATCTTTCTTCCCACTAAATCATTTTATTTCACGGAAAGAATTTAAATATGTTACCGAACTTTGAAAAAAGATATATTTATATCATTCTTTAAAAGTTTGATTTATACATATCATTTTTGTTTGAGAAATATTCATTATCCATGCTATTATTTTCAAACGAAAAAATAATTCCAATTTTGCAAAATCATTTTTTATACGTGGTCAATTATGATTCGGACACGTCATTAGTTAATTTTTATTTAAAAGGAAACAGACTTAAATATGTCACCAAACTTTGAGAAAGACTCATCTATGTCATCCTTAAAAGTTTAGCTCATCTATGACATTTGAGTTAAGATTTTTTTTTTTTTTTTTTTTTTGCTGCGCTTACAGCATCCAACGTTTCATTAAAACTGAACAAAACAGTAAGCTCAAACATCAAGTCTACGCTTAAAAGTCATAACATTTATTTCCCAACTTTCTAAAAACACAAACTATAAACAAGGAAAACTATCCCCATTTATCGAAGCCCTAATTTGACAATCCAAAAAAAAAAATAACCATCACATTTGACATTTGAGTTAAGAAATAATAGCATGGATGAATATTTTCCCAAACGGAAATGGCATAGATAAGTCAAATATTTTACAGATGACACAAATAAGCCTTCATTATATTACTCAGGAGATATGCATTGAGTGTTAGGAAGATATTCAATATATTTTTAGAGTGGGTCTTTACTTGTCTGATTATTTAGTGAATTTTTTTGTTGGACAAAAATAAATCGAAATAAAAAACTTATTGATATTTCATATAGGTTGTGTCCTTTTATGTAGGGCTCACACCGCTATCCCTCACTTCAACCATGTATTATTTTTCTGGAAAATATCTTCTTTCATACTGAACACACCTTTTAATAGCTTTCAAAAATTAAATGACTTTTAACATAAATAACTTTATGCTACATTATAAAGGGAAAATGTAGCTCACAATTATGTGTTGTGATGGTTATTTTGAAAGAAGAAGAAAATATTTCCAAGTTTTAATAAGGATGATGGAGAAAAAGATTCAATCATTTTGAACCACTCGGGTCACAATTATATTTATTAGAAAAAGAGAGATCTTTTTTATGCCCTCACATGTGCTTTACAAGTTGTGATCGATGTCATCAATCTTCCCAACAAGTCCTTTTATTTTAGGGAAAATGCTCAAATATATTATCGAACTTATTTATGTCATATGTTAAAAGTTGACTTATCAATACATTGTTGTTTGAGAAAAACTCAAGATGACATATTTTATTCATGTGGAATGTCATATGATAAGGTTTTTGCAAATAAAAGAGAGTGTATAGTACACACACCACTGAAGTGTGTTTCTCAAACTAATAAGTGATAGTTTAGATATGAAATTCACAGTCTCAATAATTTAGATATGAAATTTTAAAAAAAAAATAGTTTAATGTGTTTTTGACACTCGTCTCTAAAGATGGTGTCCTTTCTATTTATTTTAAAGAAAATATTTCCAAGGGATGATGAGAAAAATTCAATCAATTCAAACCGTTCATGTCATAATTATAGTTAGGTCTACTTAATAATTTAAGGCAATTATTTTCCCACTTTCTCTATCTATCTATAGATTATAGATAAAAGAGAAATACCTTACATGTTGTGATGTTATTTTTCTTCCCACCAAATCTTTTTATCTCAAGGAAAGAATTTAAATATGTTATCGAACTTTGAAAAGAGATATATTTATGTCATTCTTTCAAAGTTTGACTCATCTATACTATTTTTATTTGAAAACGACTCATTATCCATGCTATTATTTTCGAATGAAAAAATAACTCTAATTTTGCAAAATCATTTTTTATACGTGTGGTCAATTATGATTCGAACATGTCATTAATTAAATTATTTTTTAAAATAAAAAATGTTCAAATATGTCATCAAACTTTGAGAAAGGCTCATTTATGTCATCCTTAAAAACTTAGCTCATCTATGTCATTTCAGTTAAGAAATAATAGCATAGATGAACATTTTCTCAAACGAAAAATGACATAGACAAGCCAAATTTTCAACCGATGACATAAATAAGCCTTCATTATATTACTCGGAAGATATGCATTGCGTGTTCGGAAGATATTCAATATATTTTTAGAGTGGATCTTTACTTGTTTGATTATTTAGTGAGAATTTTTTTTGGACATAAATAAATCGAAATAAAAAACATTGATATTTCATATAGGTGGTGTCCTTTTATGTAGGGCTCACAACCCTATCCTCCACTTCCACCATGTATTATTTTTTTGAAAAATATTTTCTTTTCGTACTGAACACACCTTTTAGTAGCTTTCAAAAATTAAATGACTATTTTGTTCTTTAAAATCATTATTTTAAGAACATTTAAATGCAAAGATGTAATTATACAACCAAAACATAACAAATGAAAATTTCAATAGTAAAAAAAAGAAGAAGAAGTCAAATGGTTGTATTTTCTTTTCTTTTCAATCCATTTGAATATTTTTCATCTTCCATTGCTTATTCAATGATCTTCCATTTCAATTTCCAACTATTTATTTAATAAGACATTTCAAATCATTTCAATTTAAGTTTTTACTTCTTATCTACTTACCTTTGACTTTTATGTATGAATAAATATCACTTTAACTTATTTTTCTATCACTCTACTTAAATCTTATATCTTACTAATCAATCCAACCGTCAAAATTTAAAAGTGGTGGGATCATATCCCGCACAATATACCTCTTTATGATTGTTTAATAGTATTGGTCCAACTAATTTAGATTATCATTATATCCGTAGTGGAAAAAATAATACTTCCTATCAAAAATTTCTCAATTTTTTAATTTTAAATTCGAGATATCTGTATATCTAATAAAAAAATAAAAAGATCAAATCTCACCCACCACATCTACTAAACGTGTGAAATTTTATTCAATACTACAGCTCATGGAATTGATTGTGATCATAATAAGCTCAATTATTGTACTGAAAATCTTTATTATATTCAGTAAACACGTGGGATTAATATTTTAATTTTTCTAAAAGATCAAAAAAAAAAAATCTCTTCCTTTTTTCAAAGGGAGTTATGTATTTATCACTAAAGCTACCTTCAAATGTAGCTTCTAATTCACTCAATCCTCTTAATTTCTCGATTATTCATCTATAATTCAACTAATACAATAGTCACCTATCCTAATTTATTTTATGCCGCAGTGAACTTGAATATCCTTAAAAAGAGCGAGATATTCATGCCTCAGCCTAAAGATTTGTTTATGCATTTTTTGTCATTTTATTTCAACTATAATCAATATATATATATATATATATATATATATATATATATAGTGCAAAGCACATCTGGTTAGATGACAAGAAAAATACACAACAAATATCGTGTATAAGGTAATATTAGTGAGATACGACTAATTACATGATTGAACCTCATCAAATTGAAATAAATATATACATTATTGCATTTAACTAATAAAATTTTTCATTGACCATCTTCATAGGTTCATGTGAATAAGAGATATATATGATGATTCACATTGAACATTCACAAAAGAATCTGCAATATTATTTTGTGCAAAGCTTATTATTCAAATATTCGCTAAAATTTTCTTAATTGATAATCACGTGCAACGCACGTG